CTTGCCTTATATTTACAGCTTTTATACATATCTATTACATTTCTAAGAAAAGGTCAGGTTATTCTAATCATTTCCAGGAATTCATTAACATAAGTCCCTCCCATAGTCCCATCTCAGTCTGCCCAAGTCACACCTCCATCAGGGGTCCTTGGTGGTCATTGGGGATGAAGATCTGAGTCTTCCTCAGGGTTGAACTTTTGAACTCGCCCTGTGGCGCATGCCCTGCACCATCCTGGGTCTTTTCCAATTCGCAGAACCAGCTCTCGCTCGCTGCCCTCCCTGTCTCTAACTCTCCTGCTCAGTCCTTTGTGTTCCTTGAGCCCCACAGTCTGATTGGAGGATTCCACCTGGTGTCCTTCACTTGGCTAACTTTGCTTCCTTCTTATCTCTAAAGGCTAGTTAATTAGTCATCAATGGATACATACCTATGCGTACTTCAATATAAACCGGCCTTATTCTTTATTACAAGCTAATGCTTGTTGAGGAAAAATCATGTGCGTGTGTCGTGGTTTGAGCCCACCCAGCCGGCAGCAAAGCTCCCCGCAGCTGCTTGCTCCTCGCCTACGCTATCCACCATGGGATGGGGAGGAGAAAATACAACCAAAAGGCTCCAGGGTCGAGACAAAGGACAGGGAGGGCTCACTCACCGGTTATGGTCACGGGCAAAAGACAGACTTGACTTGGGGAGAACAACATCAATTTAATTTGACGACCACCACCATCAGGGATAATGAGAATTATCCTTGAAATACAACCAGGTCTTAGAAACAACACACCTTCCCCCCACCCCTCCGGTCTTCCCGGGCTCAGCTCTGCTCCCTCTTCCCCCGCAGCAGCGCAGGGCGCAGGGAGTGGGGGTTACAGTCCGTCCGGCACAAGGTGTCTCCACTTCTTCCTCAGGGAGAGGGGCCCTTGCAGCCCCATCAGACACCAAACCACCACACTGCCCTTTTACTCAGACAACTTGCCATTCTATAGAATAAGTATTTTAAGAATTCTTTTAAAAAGTTTGTAAGAAGGACTGATGCTGGTAATGTTCATAAAGGATAGCTGCTGATAATTTTCATTTTAGTCTTTATATCTGTGTGGTTTTTTATTTCATGTCTAGAATATAAAATACGTACTGCCGTAAGTCGAGCTATACCAAAACCCCATCAGTCACCAAACCACCACAGCATGTTAAAACATCTTCCTTCTATGCCGATATTTGAGTCTTGCCCTGTATTTATGTATTGTACTTGAATATGGTGGATAAAATGCTAGTTTATAACAACTCTACCATTACTTTTAAAAAATATTTCAATTTCAGGATCAGTTATAACTAGTGGTGTAATAGTATTGATTTTTAAAAGTTTTAAAACTCCAGTAAGGAGAACTGCTTTATGCTGTAGAGTAAAAACAATCAAGGAACTCTGTATTTATTTTACGTTGTTGACCACATAAACCAGACCCTGATAACAGAAAAATTTTACATATGAAATTATTTACAGTGAAGTTTTAAGATCTACCTTTGCAAATGTGTTGATTTTGGCTGAGGTAATTTTCTTCACAGTAGCTAGTACGGGGCTATGTTTTGGATTTTTGAATTTGTGATGAGAACAGTGTTGGTAACACAAGGATGTTTTAGCTGATGCTGAGCAGCGCTGGCACAGCGTCAGGGCCTTTTCTGCTCCTCACCCCATCCCACCAGCGAGCAGGCTGGGGGTGCACAAGAAGTTGGGAGGGGATGCAACTGGGACAGCTGACCCCAACTGACCAAAGGGATGTCCCACACCATATGGTGTCATGCTGAGCATATAAAGCTGGGGGGAAGGTGGGCAAGGGGGATGCTGCTCAAGGACTATCTGGGCTTCAGTCAGTTGGTGGTGAGCAATTATTTTAATTTACATCACTGGTCTGTCTTGGGTTTTATTTCTCTCTTTGTTATTTTACTTTTCATTATATTCTTATTTATTTTCATTTTATTTCAGCTGTTGTTATCTCGCCCACAAGTGTTCTCACTTTTACCCTTGCAATTCTCTTCCACCTTTCCTGCTGGGGGAGGAGTGAGTGAGTGGCTGTGTGGTGCTTACTTGCCAGCTAGGGTTAAACTATGACAGTAAGCAACACTGTTGCTTCTCTTTTTCCAACATAATCTTAAAAGCATTGTTTCTTACAGGCGGACATCTGGTCATTAGGTATAACAGCCATAGAACTTGCAAAAGGAGAGCCACCTCATTCAGAATTACATCCAATGAAGGTTTTGTTCCTCATTCCTAAGAACAATCCACCAACGCTGGAAGGAAACTTCAGTAAATCCCTCAAAGAATTTGTTGAGGCCTGCTTAAACAAGGACCCAAGCTTTGTGAGTTTCATCTGTTTGTCAATGTATGATAGAGAACTTGACTAGTTTACACAAATAAGTGCCATTCAGCTTTTCTAATATGGGGCAGCATTTATTTATTTTTTTTTTAAATACTGCATATATTTCAAATCTCATTTGTATCAAGATTGAGGTCTGGATTTCTGAATCTTTTTATAGTGAGTCACTTCTCAGTCTCAAATGCTGTAAAAAATTCTTTTTTTTTTTTTTTTTTTTTTAAGAGACCTACTGCAAAAGAGCTCTTAAAACACAAATTTATTTTACGAAACTCAAAGAAAACTTCCTACCTCACTGACCTTATTGATAGGCACAAGAGATGGAAGTCTGAACAATGTCATGACGACTCCAGTTCTGATGACTCAGATACGTAAGTTTGATGAGTTTGTAAAATATCCTTTCTAGATATAGGAGCCAAGTAGTTATTTTTAGCACATACATTCCTGTGTTCTGTTATTTACAGTTTTTCAGCTTAGCAGCCTTGGTAAACTAATGAAACCTTGATTTCAGTGTTGCAAGGGATTTCATGCAAAGAGCAGTCACTGAGGACTATTCTTCTGGCACATTCTGTGCTACCTTCTCTTTTACGTAGGGTCTAGGGTCTTTCCTAGACCTAAAGTCAACTGTTACTCCTGTTGTGCGAGCAGAAGGTAGGCCCCACCCTTCATGGCCAAGTAGCAGCGTGCACATGGCCGCCTAAGGAGTGGAGTTGTCTCCTTGGTGGCAAGTTGTCCCTCATTTTGGCTATCTTAGTAAACAGACAGAAGCATATCCTTCTGTATAAGAGAGAGCTAGTGCACAGTGCTTCCGTGATAATGGGGTTTTGGGGTACAAACCATATTACCTGGTTTTGGGGTTTTTTTAATGAGAGGGTTTGGTTAGGGTTTTTTTTAATTATCCTTCCAGGAAGGTTGGGCCATTACAGCATGATAGTCATGAAATGTCAAATTATTTGTTGGAAAAGGAGAAGTATTTTAAATATTTCTGATTTCTTTCCGGTTTTTACTACTTTCCATCAAATTTTGATGGAGCTTTTCAATACGTTCATGAATTGGTTTCCCCAGGAAACCAAATTACGAATAGTTATGACTCACTTAAAAACTTAACTTTGTTAGTTCAAAAGTAATTTCGAAAGCAGTGTGTATCACTGCTTCACTTCTGAAAATCAGTGAAGGGATTGCCACAAGTTATTCACATTTAATTGCCACAATTAAATTCCTCATAATAAAGAAAATGCAACTCTTCCTCTAATTCCAGTCTGTGTGCTAATAGCAAGCGTCAGGCTGGTTATGATTTCTTGGTTGCCATCACAGCTGTATATTTGTCGTGCATTATTAATGGCTTCATGCCTTCCAGCGATCACTGTTCCAGCTAAAACAGGTCTGATTTTGAAGCTAAATTACTAGTCCTAAAACTGATCTCGGATCAGTTCAGTTAGTAACTTTGAGGTTATAGTTCCTTGTTCCTGTGGAATATCAGACTGGCTTTGATAGCTTGGCATAGGAGAGAGGTGGAACTAAAATGGTTTTTGAGTGCTTGTGAGATAGTTTAATGTCTTAAGCCCACTTTCCCCTCCCCTGCTTCCACAGCAGCCCTTGTATTAGATGTGATAAAAGGGTGAGTTGATTTGGCATGCTGGAATACTAACTTTCCAAATTGATTTATATTTTTCTGTTGGATTAACTTACTAGAGCTAATGTATACAAGGAAGGTAGACCTGCCTCTTTCAGGGACAGGCAGAAGTTCTGTGTGACTTCAGGCAGAAATCTTGGACAATTTTCTTACACTGATCACGTGCTTTTTGACTTGGTAGGCTGCACTAAGTACTTTTTTGATGATGGCCACTAGATGCACTTTTAATTGGTTTTCTTGCAAATCAATCGTAATTCACGGATCAGAAAGAAATAAATTTAGAGAAGGATTTTTATGGTAGTGAGAGGAGGAATGTAATGCAGTGGCTGGTTAGCATCAGCGTAAATATTTTTGTTCTTTTAACATTGATTTACGGGGATGTAGTTTGTTAAAGCCAAGCTGAATCTGTACTTTTTTAGCCAATTTTTTTTCAAGTGCGAAATTTACCTTGCTAATGGGCTGGGGATGAACTGTCTTCCTCAAATGTATTCTAAGCTGTTGTCTTAGCTGTTTTTCTAGGAAAAAAAGTGAATTAAGTCTTCTAATTTTTTCCCCACTTCCTTAATGATTTGAGATACTCTGCTAAAGCCAGTTTTCAGATAGCAATAAAACACTTCACGCTAGTTGTTTATATAATTTGGGGAAATGTTTTGAATCTGCAATGCCTCTCTTTTTGAAGTTAATTTAACATTTAGTGAAGTATTTTGGATTCATGTTTTTAATTTCCCCAAAAGATAAATTACATTACTTTTCATACTTGTCTTTATATTATTGGCTCGCACAGTAGTATCCTGATTTTGGACTTGACTGTAGTTACTACGTTTAGCATGTATGTTGGATGAAGATGGACAGTAAGCTGTAGGTAATAAAACTTTTTTTTTTTTCCCCCCCTTCCCTTGAAGTGATCCAGATGGCCAGGCTTCAGGTGGGAGTGATTCAGGAGAGTGGATCTTTACAATAAGAGAAAAAGACCCCAAGAATCTAGAGAATGGAGCAGCCCAGCCTTTGGAGTTGCAAAGAAATAAGGTGCTCAAAATATTGACTGTATCATACAAGGAGATAATTCTTGCTTTAATAATTTAGTGGGGTGATTTTTATTTTATACCTTTAAAAGCATTTAAATTGTAGAACTTCCAGAACTTTTGCTAAAAATTCTACAGTTGCCTTTCACAAAACATTTTGAGTAAGTCTTGAAGTTTGAGTATTCTGTAAATGTGTCCTTTTTCTGTAATTTGTGAAATATGTACAAAAATACTTCTGTAGTTTGTGGAATATTACCCCTAGAGGAAGATCAAGAATATTTTATTTAAAAAATCTTACTTCTGTAAAGTAAACTTAAACCAGTGTAGTGCAAAGCTAGGCTGGGCTTTTGGGGAAGGCATTCTGGTCTTCTAAGAAAAAAAGACCACAATGCAGCAAAGAATAGAATGTGCAACTGTCCAAAAAAAAAAAATCCAACCCAGAATAAGGGATGTTTAGGAGCTGCTCTGTCATATTTTTGTAGCTTGTGTGGCTAGGGCATGTGGTTGCTACCCTGGCTCTGAAAATTCTGTGTGTGTGCTTTTACCAGCCCTGGAGAAATACAAGAACAATATTGTATGATATGGTAGGAACCCAGTAAATATCAGCATGTCTATGATTAGTACATGCTTGT